TGGTCCACTCCCCAGATGGCAGAAATGACTGGGACTGGTCTGGACTGAAGCCAGGAGCCCAAAACTCCGTCCCTGACTCCCTCAGGTGCAAGGGCCCCAAGCACTTGGGCCATCCTCTGCTGCTTTCCCAGGCGCATTAGCAGGGAGCTGGATCAGAAGCAGAGCAGCTGGGACCCGAACTCTTACAGGAGGCTAGCACTGCAGGCAGTGGCTTAACCCTCTGCACCCCAGTGCTGGCCCCTGTATGAGCGAATTTTGCTTCTTGTTTCTTTCTCTGCAAAAGAGGAGGCATGTCTGTGTGACGAAAAACATCTTTGAAACCCAAAGGATAACAGGGTATGTCAAATTAAGAAATTATTTTACATAATAACTTGCCACTAAGCAAGCACTGTGTATCCCCAAATCATACTTACAAATGACATAAAAAAGAAGAAAGTGTTAACTGCGTATAAGACCCGCAGCCTTCCGCCGCCTCCTGCACACACACCCTCCCCAGCACAGCTGTTCAGCACTTTCTCTACGTCTGCATGGAGTGGCGAAGGCTGCTTTGGCAGCCCCAGCACCGTGCAGGAAAAGACCCAGACACAGCAAAACCCCTGAGTCAGAATCCAGCAGGAAGCAAACTAATGAAGAAGTTTATTTCCTGAGATTCCAGATTAAGAAGCCATAAAAGGAGTCCCTTCAAGTACAGTTTTTGCAGTAACATGTAGCATATGTCCTTCTTGGAGATCAGGTGGTCCCTGCCTTTCTTCTTGTTTTGCGTGGCATGAGTGAAGTTTCTGGACAGCCTATCCAGGCCAGAACGTGCAGTCTGTTCTCGGCGTTTCTGCCTGGGCACTGGGTACCCGTCACAGGCGTGCCAGGCTCAGTGTGCAGCAGTGAGCTAGGGGCTGGTTCTTGGGACCTGTCTGTGCCTTTCACAGTTGGGGTTTAGATAGGCTTCAGGGGAAAGGTGCGTTTGGCCTCCTTTCCTGCTGGAAACAGACAAGAGAATCATGCGATCACATACAAGCAGCTCCGGAAATGCATCGGAGGATGCGGAGAGGCTGGGGGGAGGCGTTAGGAGCCAGAGAGAGGGCTGCGCAGCCAGGCCCGGCACCGGAGATAGCCTTTAGCATCTCTGCCCTGCCAGTTTCTGTTTGCAGAGACATCACTGCGTGCACATTCCTAAGAGGTCATTATACTCCTTTGCAAATCAACAAGTGGAGAAGCCTGATGCTTCTGAAACACTGATTTGTTATTTTTTGGCCAGTGTCTAGTTTGGGAACTCAGGAGATTTTTAAAAACAAAATCCCACTCACTACGCTGAGATGAATAAGGAAGCTGCAGTGCCATCTGCTGGCAGCATGGGGAAAATGCATGCGCTGATTAGGTTGCAGGCAAACCTTAGAATTAATGATTTGAAATGTGTGATAAATTGAAGAAAGGAGAGAAAAATAATGTAGATGTTGGTAAGTCAGCACTTTAGAGAGGAAACAATAATACATTTTGTAGTCCCTGTGAGTTAGAAAGAACTGATCTTCTTCATTGTAAGTCCTGAAGCATTTTATGGTGTTAAGTGTTCCCATTCGGCTGGAAAGAAAGAAAAAGTAGTGGCTGGAAAGATGGAACTGAAAGGTTGATCTTTTGTGGACAGAGCTGGGATGATTTTATATCCACGGCGTCCCGATGCAGGAGAGGAAGCCGTGGGCTGGAGGAGGTTGCGTGGGTGTTGTCCCTTGCTGGCCTCAGCTGCTGTGGAATTCTTGGCCACTGTAACTTCTGTCAAATTGGGACTGGGATTAAACAATCAGTCACAGTCCTGACAACTCATTAAGGTTTATCATTTTAACTCAGCGTAGGACTGAAGGAAAGTGATGTGTCTTTAGACCATTTCCCACAGTTCACAGGGACCGGTACTGTGGCACAGTGAGTAAAGCCACTGCTTGCAGTGCTGGCATCATATATGGGCACCAGTTCTAGTCCCGGCTGCTCCTCTTCCTATCCAGCTCTCTGCTAAGGCCTGGGAACACAGTAGAAGATGACCCAGGTCCTTGGACACTTGTACCCACATGGAAGACCCAGAAGAACTTCCTGGCTCCTGGCTCCTGATAGGCCCAACTCTGGCCATTGTAGTCATTTGGGGAATGAACTGGTGGATGGAAGACCTCTCACTTTCTCACCCTCTGTCCCTCTCTTCCCTCTCTCCCTCTGCTTTTCAAATAAATAATCTTTTTTTTTTTTTTTTTTTTTTTTTTTTTTTTTTACTTTATTAGGTAGCTAACTGGTTGTATCCAGAGCTCGGGATATGGAACGTATTTGGACCTTAGCAGTTAGGGCAGGACATGGCCAGTCCTTAGCATGGGTATAAAACTGCACGGAGGGGTGCCCTTGCTTTGGGTGGTCACGTGCAGAGAATGAGCTCCAGCAACACCAAGCGACCGGAATCCGCTGTGCAAGGTGGCTCATGGTGGAGAGCGTGGCTTTGAGTCCAAAGGCTGCAGAGTAAAATTTAGTAAGAGAAAATTTAAGCATCCAAACTTAGCTAACATGGAGTTTCTCTTTTGGGGGTTTCTTGCCTTAACTCCCAGCCAGTAACCCTGCTCCATTTTATTCTATCTGCACCTCCCCTGTGGCCTTGAGCCCAGACCTGCGCCTTCTTCCCCTCCCCCGCCCCCTCCCCTCTCCTCCCCTCTCCCTTTGCCTTCTCCCCTCCTTCCTCTTCCCCCTCCCTCCTTTTCCTCCTCCTTCCTTGTGCCTCTCTGTCCACACCCATCACCCTCCCTGACCAGTGAGTTCCATTTCTTCGCATTCATCCTTGTACTTGACGTGTGATTTCATTCCTTGCATTTTGGCTGCGTGCCGTAAGGTTGGAGGTGGCTACTGATGACAAGGCCTTACTAGTAAACATGTTTAGGCGTTTTTGCTTTTGCAGGGATGGGGGGAGGAGTGTGCAACACAGGACAGGAGCGACATTTGGGGATAAGTCGATTGCTAGGTGGATGGATTTCCCTGGCGTTTCCTGTGTTTGAAGGAGGGGAGCTTGCATTCAGACCCGGCCCCAGGCCTCTGCAGCAGCTCTTTGGCACCTGCTCTCCCCAGTGGGCAGTAGAGGTTTGCGTGCTGGCGACGCCCTCCTCTCAGACTTGCGGGCCTGGGCCTTCCCTTCCGGGGTGGTCCCCATAGGCTGCCGTACTACGGATGGTGGCTCTGCAAGAGAAGCCCCTGTCCACTCTCTCTGGTCCCTGGGGTGGTCTTTCTCACCTGCCAGGGAAGCGGAGGGTCACCGTGAAGGGACCTAGGTTTGCTGCTCTTCTTCCACTAGTTTCTCCAAGGTAACCCAGCCCCGCTCTCCCATCTTCAGTCTTCCCGAGCCCGCTCAGAGCCTGACACTTGCTCCATTGTCCGCCCCACCCCACTCCAGAAGCAGCTGTGAAGGTTCAGGTGTAAATCCCTTCTGTGTCCTTGCTTCTGGGATGCAGGTTCTGTCTTTGTGGTTTTCCTTGTCAGGAGCCCCAAGGGTACTGAACTTGCTCTCTGGTCCTTGGAACCAACCAGCTACAGACTTCACGCCAAAGCTCTACTCATTCCTTTTTTTTTAAATTATTTATTTATTTATTTATTTATTTTGAGACAGAAAGCTTTCATATGCTAGTTCACTCCCCAAATGTGTGCAACGGCCTGTCCAAAGAGGTGAGCTAAGAACTTTATCCAGGTCTTCCACGTGGGTGTCAGGAACCCAATTACTTGAGCCATCATCACTGGATCTGCTTTGGCAAGAAGGTAGAGTCAGGAATTGAACTCAGGGGCTCCATTACAGGACTCAGATATTTACTTATTTGAAAGAATTACAGAGAGGGAGACACACACACACACACACACACACACACACAGATCTTCTATCTGCTGGTTCACAATGACCAGGGCCAGGCTAAAGCCAGGAGCCTGGAGCTTCATCCTGGACTCCCACATGGGTGCAGGGGCCCAAGGACTTGGATCATCTTCCACTGCTTTCCCAGGCACATTAACGGGGAGCTGGATCAGAAGTGGAGCAACCAGGACTAGAACTGGCACCCATATGAGATGCTGATGTCACAGGTGGTTTTACCCACTATGCCACAGAGGCAGCTCCCAACTCAGACTTCTTAACTAGAATCTTAATTGCTAGGCTCAACGCCCAACTCTACTCTTTCCTTTTTAAGATAACCAATTTTAGCTTTCTTTGGTTTTCCTCCCTTCTTACTTTAAATTGGTATGTATCTATAATAGTTTCTGGACAGTTCAGTTGACCAGTATTGGGTTCACCTGTATCAGCCATCACAGACTGGAACCAGGGTATAGGGCAGAGCATGGGGCCAATCCCAGTGCCTAGACATGTACTGATGGACTTGGACACGTTTCTGAAAACATTGCATTCTTTGATGTCACTTTAAAATGTGGTGGAACTCACGTACAATCGCAGAGTTCTTGCTTGTCTTTGGCTTTGGAAGATTTAGCGAGGTGGACATTGTAGCGGTCAGCTTGCATCGAGGTTGGCTAGAGGAGCTCCAGGCTGGCTGCCCCTCAGAGTGGCGTGTTCACTCCTCTGTGACCTGGATCCCCCACCCCCGTGCCTCCTACCGCTGACCACTCAGATCCCCTGCTGGCCCACATGGCCTCTGTGGTGCCACGTTTATGGTTTCATGATTGTTTTCTTTACCATTTTCACTTATCCGGGAGGCTTTCCCCCATGGCAGTAACTGAACTTGTAGTTCCAAGTTCACGGCCATGAAAGGAGCGTCAGTGACCACCTGTTGAAGCCTGTCTTCTTCATGTAATACAGGCGGGACCCCAGAGTGCATCTTTAATAGATGTTGACAAATGGCAGCCGGTGGGTAGGAGAGGCTCATGGTAAAGAGCCTATGGACATTCCCTGGCTCTGTTAAGTGGAATTGATGCTGTGTCAGGCTGGGGAGGGGGATCTGCAGTTCTCTCGTGACCGCTGGGCTCCCTGATAATCTGATTTCGTTTTTCCTTCTTAGGCACCCTCTGCATAAATCCAACTCAGAAGACAGCTCTGTAGGTCAGTACTACTGGATTCTTGGATTTGCCGTTTAATTGTTTTCTTTTAATGCTTTATGGACAACATAAATGTGAGAACACAAAAGCCATCGAGACTCCTTCTGCCCAGAAATAAGCACTGTTCCTGTTCTGATGCTCAGAAACCCTGCCTACCCCTTTCTCTGTTGTGTGGGATTTTTAAAAAACATAATTGTGATCATAGTCTACATCCTATTGTGTATTTTTTTTTTTTACACACTGAATGCCAGGAGCATTTTCCCACATGATTGAGTGTTCCTTACAATACAATGTTTAAAGTCTGCACAGTATCCTACCATATCGGGTGTGCCCGCTTTAATTAACCAACCCCTGTGTGCTGAACATTTGGGTTGTCTCCCATTGTCTCTGCTGTAAAAATCCTGGAGTCTCTGTCCCCGATTGTGTCCCTGGGATAAATCCTTCAAAGGGGAATTTTTGCTTCAAGCACTATGCACAATTAAGGCATTATATATTTTATATGTTCTTGATTGCAAAATCTGTATTTGGTACAGCCGCAGCATTCCTGCTTAGGTCAGAAGGTGGGTGTGGAACAGCGATTTGGGGCACACAGTGCCCCATCCGACTGCTTGGATCTGAATCATAGCTCTCATCTCAAAGGTTATGTCCTTAGGCAAGCCTCTTGCCTCTTGACTCTTGCCCAAGCCTTTTCCCATCTGTGGAATGGGAACAATACTCCCTGGTGCAAGTATAAGTGAATATTAAATGAGACATGCCTTTAGATAGCCAAAGCCTGGCTATGGTAAAGGCTGTCATTTAAATTTGAGGCTGTGTCTCCATTCCAGAAACACGGAGAACAAGGCCTGGGGTCAAAGAAATACATTTTATTCCCAAACTACCCTAGAGGGAGATGTGATGAGTAATAAGTTATCAGTCTGCCCGAGCCCTTGATGGCTAGCAGTGGCTTGAGTGTGTAGCCCGAGGGTAGCAGGCACTATGAGACTTGTCGTTAGGATCCGAGGGCATCGGAAGTCTGAGGCTGGATGGCTCTGCTTTTGTTCCCATAGTCCTGGGCTTCTTACAACTTAAATGAGGGCATCCTGTTTTGACAGACAGCACCCTGGCTAGCCTGGCGCACCATGGCAGGGTTCCCACGTGTCTGCGCCATGCGGCGTGGCCTGGCACCACCCGTCTAGACTGTGGAAGCCCACGGCTCTGCTGGGCTGTGTTTGCAGTGGCCGTGGAGCTTCCAAGCAGACACCAGACAGCCACGAAGCTGCCACTTGAATGTCCCGCATCGGTGTGACGGCGGAGACCATTGCTGCTGCTTTTTATTTGTAAAGAATAAGAGACTGCTCTATCCATTCATTTTCCCTTTGCTTTTTAAAAAGAATTATATACGAGGGATGATCAAGACCCTACCAAGTATTAAAAATATCTAGCTATGGCAGGGAATTTATCTGTACTTGGAAGCCATCCAAAATAGTCTGGGAGGAATGAGAGGTTGGAGAGAGAGAGAGGAGAGAGAGAGGAGAGAGAGAGACAGAGTTGGGAGGTGTCACAGCAGGACTGCGGTCTGTTTTGTCATCGTGCCTGGGATAAGCTCTTGGTAGGTCCCAGGTAGCCTCAGTGCCAGAAGTGCGGGCATCGTGCCCCAGTCGTGCCATCACTAGAGCCCTGCAGAGGGTTCACCGTACAGAACCAGGGCGGGCCAACCCCAGGGACCCCTGGGACCTGCTGCGTTGACCAGCAGGCACAGGAAATGCCAACCATTCTGTTCTCTGCATTAAATCAGGAATAACAGAAATAAACTGAGGGCAGATCAACAATAACAACAGAAAAAAGTCAGCTTCCTCAGGATCCTATTTGTGGTGGAGTCGAGATAATTGTGGCCTAGACTGAAAGGGAATGATCCGCGAGCCAGGGCGGACTGAGGAGGACTGGTTAAACACACATCAAAGTGAACGCAGGCATGCATGTTCCGCTGGCCTTTTTGATGTTGCCTTACTTCTCATCCTAACCCTCCGCTACTAGGACATTTGCATTTCTTTTTAAACAACTTGAAGAGAAAAAAGTATCTTTTTTTGTGAAATGAAAGTATTCTTACAAGCTTTGAATTAGAAGAGGCTTCTTTTGTTATTAATGACTTTATTACTGTGTCTTTTTTTCCCTTCTTCTTTTGAAAGGAAAAGGAGACTGGAAGAAAAAAAATAAGTATTTCTGGCAGAACTTCCGAAAGAACCAGAAAGGAGTCATGAGACAGACTTCCAAAGGTAATGCAACACAGCCGGCACACAGTAGGTGCTTTTAGCTCCAAATGTTAGGGCGGCTGTGCCACTAAATTAAATAGGTGCTGCGAGTTGGAAGAGCTCATTGTGTGGGCCCGTAGAATGTTCCAGATTTCTGACACGCCTGTCGTTACTTGGAGACTTGCGCCTGGTGATTTCCTTTCTTCTTACGGCTCTGATAGCAAAGAGCCAGCTTCCGTTTTCTCAGTCCTACCCACCTCAAAACCGCCTTCATTCCTACCTCGCCCAGAGCCAACCTGCTGGGGAAGACTTAGCATTTGTTAGCTTTAGACTTTCCCATCCGCCTGGAGCCTCTGCGTCCCCGTGACCCTGGGGTGCTCACCCCTGTCAGCGGGCTGCCGTCCCTGGAAACCCTCTAATGGCCCGACAGCGTGGGAGTCCAGTCTGCCGGGGCTGCTTTGTGCAGAGCCCCGCCCCCGTGTCGGCTGTGTCTTTGGTCGTTGTTTAGATAGTAAGTGAATGCGCCACCCCTTTGAGGCCCCGTTATGGAACTGATATTTCCCTGGTGTTGAGAGAGGAAAGCGGCCCCAGTCCACTTCCGGTCCCCCTGAAATGGTGATCCCTAGATAAAAGAGCCAGCGGCTTACCTGGGACACTGCGTGTTTTCCCGCCTCCAAATCAGAGCGCCTTGACCTTGTCAGGACGCTTCTCCCACTGTTCCTAACCCGCACAGCACACCCGGCGGCTGCGCACTTGGGGGCCTTGGCAGTACTCGGAGGTGTTGCTTTTCCGGGCTGTCTCACTTTGCAAAGGGTTCTTCTTAAACAGTCCCAGTGTTTCCTTTTGGTGCATGCCTGGGATCATCTGTGATTCAAAGAAGCCCGAGACTAAGAGGAAAAAGGTGGAGAGGGAAGGAGGAGGATGGCAGGTGGGCAGCTCAGGTGGCTCTTTTCAAGTCCCAGGGGCTCCCCCCTCCCTCTCTGCCATCAGCCCTGAATGGAACAACACACGCGCCCCTGCCCGTGACCCACCGTAAGTCTTCCCGTACACACGGACCAGTGTCAGAAAGAAGCAGAGTGGCATTTCTGGACTGATTGCAAAATGCAGATGAGACAGGGAAACCAGGCCATCATAAATTCCAAGGTAGACAGCCAGACCCTTGCCCTCTGTCCCTCTTCACCCAGGGCACCTGCAGCCGTGGCCGAGGTCCTGACAACCCCTCAGGCCAGTGAAGTGTCTCTGAGAAAGACAGCGCAGGGGAGGAAGCTGAGGGGCTAGGATGTGGCCTTATTTGCTCCTGGGAGTTACAGCCCAGGGTCACTGATGTCCTGTTCCACACACAACCAGTCCAAGTGTCTCCGATTGATTTTTCCTGTTCCCTACTGGGTCCCTGGTGGGGCTTCTCTGTTCCTCTGGTTCTGGCTGCTTTCAGTTCTGAGCTGGAAGCTGACTTCCATGCACAGTGTGGAAACCTGTGCCTCCCGTCTGATTTTCCTGATTTGCACTTAGTCCTTGGTGAGCAGTTAGCTCAGTAGCCTGCGCTAGGAGTAGAGGGTGTGGCCAGGCCGAAGACTCATTCAGAGACTTTGCTGTGTCCTTGCAATGCTTGCTGGGTCTAGGCAGGTGCTTAAGTTCCGTCTTAGCGGCGTCTGTCACTGAAGTGCATCATCTCAAGAGCTTTGGTGCACTGAGGGGATTGTGACATCCATGCATTCCTGGGGCCTGTTTCCCTATCAGAGGTGCTCCCAGGGAATTGTCCCACCTGTAGCAGGCAGTGTCCGGTGGCTCTGGTGCCGCGTTCCCAGGGGGCCTGGGTCAGCACTCTGCTTCGTTTCTCTGACTTCTGTTCCTATGATTCTTGGTCCTCCGTCTCCAGGTGAAGATGTCGGCTACGTTGCCAGTGAGATCACCATGAGCGACGAGGAGCGGATTCAGCTCATGATGATGGTCAAGGAGAAGATGATCACCATCGAGGAGGCCCTGGCCAGGGTAAGAGCACCGACCTTGCTGGTGTTCGTGAGTCACCTCTGGGGACACCACAGGGTGCAGAATATTCCATCAGAAGTGTGACTTCTGTGATATTTTCTAGTCAGCAGGTACCCACGTGGTCAGATAAAACATTTATTCCATTTTATTTACTTAATGCAAGCATTGTACTGTTGGAGGTGCAGCTTCCGTTTTTCAATGAACGAATGAATGAATGAATGAATGAGTGAATGAATGGATCAATGAATGGCAAGTGTGTTTGTGGACTGCATTAATGAGGGAAATGGCCTTCCAAAGGCCATTGCAAAATTCACAGATGAAAAGATGGATTAGAATGTAATCAATGGTCAAATATTTATTACAAACTCAAAATTGTGTTACGAGTAGCAACATCAGTTCTGTGTGATGTCCTCACATACTGAACTCGGGGAAGCCTGGAAGTGAAGCTTTGAATGTAGCACAGACATTTTCTTACTTTCTCATCCTAGTGAGCCCTGATTGTAGTTTATTGTTTCTTTTTCTCCTTGAGTTAAATTAGCCACTAACAGGAGCCTAGTTAACCTTTGCAGTACTGAATGGTACTTAGGATTGGGAGGCAGCAAATAATCGAGCAGTTTTCTTTTCCTTGTTGACAAATGAGCTGTTTGATCTTGGCTTTTTACTTTCTCCTGTGCAGGCAAGCTTTAAATAGTCAGGGTTAGAAAATAAGGAAAAATTCCAAATCACTCTAGGAATCATTGACTGAGTTGTAACTTTGCCTGCCTCAGTCTTTTTTGTGTGGCTGTAACATAATCCTGCAGGCTGGATAATTTATAAACAACATCAGTTTATTGGCTGCAGGCCAGCAAGTCTAAGGTCAGGGCGCTCCAGCAGGTTTGAGGTCCATCTGATGGAACTGTTCTTTTCTTCCACGAGGGCAGCTTGCATGCTGTGTCCTATGGCAGAGGGCAGAGGGCAGAGGGCTGAGAGGCCAAAGGATTCCAATCTCATGGCTTTCACAGTGGCCTTCATCCCACCGTGAGCCTGTCACCTCCTTCAGTCCCTCCCCCCAGCACTGCCACAAAGGCAGCCACATTTCCGTATGAATTTTGGAGGGGACAAACCATAGCAACTATTAAGCGGTACCTTTTGGATCTGAAACCTTGAAAGAGTGACAAGCATACTCAGTAGAGTTTAGTATAGCTGGCTGTAAAGAGCAGGGGTTTAAAAAACAGTTTACTTCGTTGTTGAGACAATGTTTCCGGAAAAGTACTTATACAGGATAGGGGAGGGACTAATTTTAGAAGATGGCCTGAGAGCCAAGTTGGCCTTGGGACACCCGTCTGTTCTTTCCTCTTGCTCTTCGAATTTGGAAGAGTGACAGCAGCCTTAGGCTGCAGAGCCTCCAGCAGACTTGAAGTAGTGGTGGTGGCAGGGATGGTGAGACTGGGCTCGCTGCAGACAAGCGAGCTGGCACTGGGCCAGGTGAGGGAGCAGGTAACAGGCAACAGCCTCTTGTCCATGCTGCTGGTGGTCTGGGCCCACGTCCTGAGCCTTCCCTGTGTTCTACCCACACCATCAACCCCCTGGCACAGCTGCCCACAGAGGCAGAAAGTCCAGCATATGTGTTCCCTCCAGTGCCAGTCTTTGGGTGTGCCACGGCACTGGGGGAAGTCCAGCTGGATTCCTAGAAATGCGCAGGAGAAATCTGGACTTGGATTTGGTTTGACCACGGCCAGATGTTCACATGTCTTCTGCAAAGTGATGCTGCTATACTGCACTTTATAGTAAAACCGAAGCATCGGGGGGCAGACATTGTGCCATAGCGGGCAGAGCTGCCTCACATATCGGACTGCCTGGGTCCAGTCCCAGCTACTCCTTGCTTCCAGTCCAGCTTCCTGCTAATGCGTCATGGAGGCAGTGGATGGTGACCTCAGTACAGGATCCCTGCCACACATGGGAGAGGCACAGGTGGAGTACTTGGCTCTTGGCTTCAGCCTGCCCCAGCCCTAGCTATCTCAAGCATGTGGGGCATGGCAGCAGATTATTGGCTTTTTACTTTGTCTTATGCAGGCGCGTTTTAAATAGTCAGGGTTAGAAACTGATGAAAAATTGAATGTGCATGGAAGATTGATGCCCCCTGCTCTGCCTTTCAAATAAATAAATAAGTAAATCTTAAAAAAAAATACATGAATGCAAAACATGCCTATAGTCTTCCAATAACACCTGTTACAAGTTCCAAATGATGTGCCTAGTGCAGTATTCTAAGAGTGCAAGAAGATAAGCCGGCGCCGTGGCTCAATAGGCTAATCCTCCACCTTGCGGCGCCGGCACACCGGGTTCTAGTCCCGGTTGGGGCGCTGGATTCTGTCCCGGTTGCCCCTCTTCCAGGCCAGCTCTCTGCTATGGCCAGGGAGTGCAGTGGAGGATGGCCCAGGTGCTTGGGCCCTGCACCCCATGGGAGACCAGGAAAAGCACCTGGCTCCTGGCTCCTGCCAGGATCAGCGCGGTGCGCCGGCTGCAGCGGCGGCCATTGGAGGGTGAACCAACGGCAAAAGGAAGACCTTTCTCTCTCTCTGTCTCTCTCTCTCACTGTCCACTCTGCCTGTCAAAAAAAAAAAAAAAAAAAAAGAGTGCAAGAAGATGTGAAAAGTGCTTTCCAAGGTGCATTAGCAGGGAGCCGGATCAGAAGTGGAGCAGCCGAGACTCACAGGGGATGTCAGTCGGCACCACAGGCAGCAACGGATTTACCCGGTATACCCCAATGCCAGCCCCTGTCTTTCTGATTTAGGCAACCATTGTCTGTGTGGAAAGGAAATCAGAAATCAGCCCAATGAGAAGGTGGCATGGTGGTACCCAGATTTGGGTGGCACTGTTAGCCACGCAGCCTGACTGTTGCCAGCTTGGCTGCCTTTGCTTAGTGTGAGATGAAGCCGTGGAGCTCAGTGAGAGATCACGAATATTGTGCATAAGAATGGCTGCTTGCACTTTTCAGCTCCTCAGCTTCCCATCCAGCTTCCCACTAATGCACTCCCTGGAAGGCAGCGGGTAATTTCTCAAGTACTTGGTTTCCTGCTGCCCATGTGAGAAACCCAGATGGTGTTCATGGCTCCTGGCCTCAGCCTGGCTCATGTGGCCATGTGGGGAGTGAACTGGTGATGGAAGATCTCTCTCTGTCTGACTCTCTGTCCCTCTGCTTTTCAAATAAAATGAAGATAACTAAATATTGTCGACAAGGCCATCCAAAAATGTAGAATGTCAGAAGAAATAGTTGGTGACATTCTCCAAACTCTACGAGACTTTACATACAGGGGCGAGTACCTTACAGGAGTTGATGGAGTGGCCACTCTGCTCCGGGCAGCATCCTCAAGTACTAAGTGCCTAAATAGCTAGAGGTAAAACATGGCAGGAAAAGGGTGTTTTAGAACAGAAAATAGGCTTGCGCCATGTCTCAATAGGCTAATCCTCCGTCTGCGGCGCTGGCACCCCAGGTTCTAGTCCCGGTTCAGGGGCAGGATTCTGTCCCGGTTGCTCCTCTTCCAGTCCAGCTCTCTGCTGTGGCCCGGGAGTGCAGTGGAGGATGGCCCAAGTGCTTGGGCCCTGCATCCGCATGGGAGACCAGGAGAAGTACCTGGCTCCTGGCTTCAGATCAGTGCAGCACACTGGCCGTAGCGGCCATTTGGGGGATGAACCAACAGAAAAGGAAGACCTTTCTATCTCTTTCTCTCAAAAAAAATAAAATAAAAAGAACAGAAAATAGTCTATGGAGATTATCTGCCTCTTTTAATTTGTGTCCAGTTCAAGGATCTCAATTTATTTGATTGCAATATAAAGGAGTCATGACACTGAGCCCTGTTGAAAGCCCACAGTAAGAATGTCCCAGACTCCTCAGCTAGGACAGCGGATGCTGTCCCTCTAGGGTATCAGGTAGGCCTGTCTCCCTCTGTCACTAAAAACTTTGGACTTGAGGGTAGAATTTCTGGGTTCGAATCCTGGCCAATAATTATACAACAGCCCATTATGAGAGTCTGTCCTTGTGCCATTGGAGCCGAATGTCATCATATTGGGGAACATTTTGCCTGTGTTCAAATCAAAACAGTTTGGTCCACAGTGCCCCATTGCTATGAACTGGATCTCATTGATTGTTATTTTCCCACTGTAAATCCTACAAGCATCATTCCCACTCCTCAAACTGGTTTTCCAATACAAATCAAGATCAAAGTGAAAAAGTAAGTCATAATGTCATACAAGTAAGTCGTAATGTATGACATGTCAGTGTACACTGAAGCACATGAAGACCACAGAGTTGACAGAACAGCTCCTGCTACACTGCCTTGGACGTGTGGGATTGTAAAAGACAGCTCCGAGTCATGTGTTTCATATTGCATTAACTCAACATCCCCATCCTACTTAGTGACAGTTCCAGCACTTTGTAATACTTTTATGATGGATGCTTACTGCATATGCTTTAGGGCAATTGAACTTGTTAAGTCAGAAAATTGTTTTCAGGGATCTGGGGAATTGGCAGATTGTGAACAACATGCTTTCCACGTACTAATTGTAAGAACATACCTAGCTCTTAGCTGGTGAGTTCATGGTATTCAAATCTTGTACTAGTTCTGCAAGGTAAAGAGTGCTGAGTTACAGATACTTGGAAGTTCTAGATTATTCGCTTGCCCAGAATATGTGTGTGTGTGTGTGTGTAGGCGTAGGTTGGGGGGTAGTATGGGATAAGCTCAGATTTAACATGGATAGAAACAAATACTATTAATTGTTTTGATAGTATGATACTTAGCAACAGTGATGCTATGTCACAGAAAAATGTGTGCTTTGAATTTTTAACTAGAAGCCATGTTTATCAGAAATTGAAAGCATGTTCTATGACCACAATTTAATAATCATATCTCCTTTAACATAATTATTAATACTGAAGACTACTTATATGATATAATTACTAAATATGTGTTTCTCCATCTGAGAAGTCTATGACTGGTTGCACAAGACCACTTCTGTGTGAAAAATGCAAATTAAAGTCCTTAGATTTTTGGCCGGCGCCGCAGCTCACTAGGCTAATCCTCCGCCTGCAGCACTGGCACAGCAGGTTCTAGTCCCGGTCGGGGCGCCGGATTCTGTCCCAGTTGCCCCTCTTCCAGACCAGCTCTCTGCTATGGCCTGGGAGTGCAGTGGAGAATGGCCCAAGTGCTTGGGCCCTGCACCCGCGTGGGAGACCAGGATAAGCACCTGGCTCCTGGCTTTGGATCAGTGTGATGTGAGGCCGCAGCGTACCGGCTGCGGCGGCCATTGGAGGGTGAACCAATAGCAAAGGAAGACCTTTCTCTCTGTCTCTCTCTCTCTCACTGTCCACTCTGCCTGTCAAAGAATTAAAAAAAAAAAAAGTCCTTAGTTTTTTTTTAAAGCACTTAATTGTTTTTTACTGAATGTCACCAGTGCTTTAGCTTTGGCCTTGAACTTTTCTTAATGCCACTTGTCTTTTTTTTTTTTTTTTTAACTTTTATTTAATGAATATAGATTTGCAAAGTACAGCTTATGGACTACATTGGCTTCCCTCACCCCCCCATGACTTTCCTCCCACTCGCAACCCTCCCCTTTCCCGCTCTCTCCCTTTCCATGTCTTTTTTTTTTTTTTTTTTAAAGATTTATTTTAGTTATTTGAAAGGCAGCATTAGAGAGAGAGGGAGAGAGACAGAGAGATCTTCTATCCACTGGTTCACTCCCCAAATGGCCACAATGACCAAGGCTGGGCCAGTCTGAACCCAGGGACCACGTGCAGGGGCCAAGCGCTTGGACCATTTTCTACTGCTTTCCCAGGCACATTAACAGGGAGCTGGATCAGAAGTGGAGCAGCTGGGACTTGAACTGGTGTCCATATGGGACACTGGCGTCACAGGCAGCAGTGGTCCCAGTGTCACTGGTCTTCTATCAGGTTCCTGAGAAGCAGCGCCCAAGACAGGGATTCTTGTTGAAGGAAGGCTTTCAAGAGGAACCTCTGAGTGAGGAGGGAAGCAGGAGAGAGGGGAAGGAGCTGAGAGAGATGCTGATTCAGGGGAAGTCTCGCTTGCCCTGAGCCCATAGGGAGTGAGCAACTCTGCAAGAATTGCATTGTGGGGTTTGTCCTACCAGAGATGGAGCATCTGAAAGCTGACTGAAGAGAGGGCAACCGGGTAGGCATCTCTGTGGAGACAGGTCCTTAGCCCTGTTCTCCAGGGCAGAGTATAGCTGGGAGATTAAACATAGACAAATGAATAGGGTTGTAAAAATCTGGGCATCTGGTATACCAAAGGGCATGCTCATGAACTGGGAACCTATGTGTGTTATTGAATTGTTTCTTTGTAGCAGCTTTTACATGTCAAGCACAGAGATTTAGACATAGAATGAGGCTCATAGAGCTTATAGGAAGTTTGCTTAAATTGATCCCACGAGGAGAAGTAGTTTTATCGATTTATATCAGAAATAAAGGATTTATATCAGACATGAAGCAGGAGAAAAGCAGCTCACTGCCTGTAAGCATCGGAGGGCTGTTAAACTGTGCATCCCCAAGTGCACGGGAGAGTGTGTGTGCTTTTTACATTTCTACTGAGGACAGATTAGGAGGAAGTAAATTAAAATGATAGCTGGAGGGATTTAGATTTGGTATAATATAAATGTTTCTTACAATGAGCACAGGTAGATTGAAACATTATAGTGTTCTCCCTGTAGGTCTCCAAGCATTAACTTACTAAAAATGGCCTTCCCTCTAAGAATCACGTCATGGACGGCAAATGTGGGAGCACAGTGACACTGGGCAGAATAGGATATGAAAGGGACTGGATCTGTGTATGACAGATGGACACACACACACATAGATACATACACACACTGTATAAGTATTTTGTAACTTCTGGAATTAATATAAAACTCTAAACATTTCCTTTAAAATATATGTTATCAAATGGAAGTCATAATTTGCCATTCCTCCATGAAATTATAATAAAACCATCTTGAAGCAAAATAGGCTAGAAAAATATAACTACATAAATGATAACCAGGTTGTTTTTTTCCCTGCACAATGCAGTGTTTAAAATTTTTAAAAGATCTTGTTTTGTAACTTTTTTTATTTTTTAGATTTTTTAAAAATTATATTTTATTTATTTGACAGGTAGAGTTATAACAGAAACAGAGAGAAAGGTGTTCCATCCTCTGGTTCACTCCACAAATGGCCTCAATAGCCACAGCTGGGCCACTTAAAAGCCAGGAGGCAGGAGTTTCTTCTGGGTCTCCTATGTGGATGCAGGGGCCCAAACACTTGGACCATCCCCTGATGCTTTCCCAGGCCATTCCCAGAGAGCTGGATCAGAAGTGGAGCAGCCGGGACATGAACTGGCACCCATATGGGATGCTGGCACCACAGGTGGAGGCTTAGCCTACTACACCACAGCACCAGCCCCGTTTAGTAACTATTTAAAATATTTATTTATTTCAACCTCAGAGTTAGAGAGATAGATGAGACAGAGAGACCCAGAGCTTCCTTCTACTGGTTCATTCCCTAAATGGCTACAGTGGCCAAGGCTGGGACAGGCCAAAGACAGGAGCCTCAAACTCCATCTGTGTCTCCCATGTGGGTGTGTGGAAGGGCCCACGCCCTTGGGCCATCTCTGCTACTTTTCCAGACGCATTAGAGGGAAGTGGATCAGAAATGGAGCAGCCAGTGCTCACGTGAGATGGAAATGTCCTAGGTGGTGCCTTAACCCGCTGTGTCACAACACAGGCCCTTGTTTTGCAACTTTATAGCAAGTATCGTTTGGTAATTAGGATAATTAAAAACGTCAGTAAGTGGCAAAATTCGGATGGGGCACATAATTAGAATCTACCAGAAGAAGCACTTTTAGACCCTGAAGTAGATGGCGGAGATGGATATACAGGAGAGAAAAAGAAATAACAAATCTAAGACATGCACAGAGCTCTCATGTCTGCCACGTGGGCTCCCAGGCCAGGTGATTTCTGTTTAAATTTGGTTCATAGAACGTGATATGATCAACATCTTCAATTCATATCCAAAAACTGCTTCATGACAGGATTTTAATGCAATGACAATTGTAATAAGTATTCTATGTGTTTTATGAAACACACCTGGAACTTCTCACGCCATTCCGAGAGAACTTACTGTGTTTGCTCACTTTTTCTATTACATTTTACCTGCCTTCCTGTGATTTTGAAAAATCAGGAACTTATTTGCTAAATCTAAAGTTTTAATATTTCTGGAACTTTCCTTTTATTCTTCTGCCCATCCTCAAGAGTCCATAGCATGTGTTAGACAAGAACTTGTTGGGGCCGGCACCGTGGCTCACTTAGTTAATCCTCCACCTGCGGCGCTGGCATCTCATATGGGCGCCGGTTCTAGTCCCGGTCAGGGTGCCGGATTCTGTCCTGGTTGCTCCTCTTCTAGTCCAGCTATCTGCTGTGGCCCAAGAAGGTAGTGGAGGATGGCCCAAGTGCTTGGGCCCTGCACCCGAGTGGGAGACCAGGAGGAAGCACCTGGCTTCTGGCTTCGGATCAGCGTAGTGCAGGCTGTAGCAGCCATGGGGGGGGGGGGTGAACCAACGGAAGGAAGACCTTTCTCTCTGTCTCTCTCTCTGTCTAACTCTATCTGTCAAATAAATAAATTAAATAAATATTAAAAAAAAAGAACTGGTAATAACTTGCAGCAGTAGTGAATGGGAAAAGCAAGTGGCTTTCAGCTGCCAGTGTTTTGCTTCCACCTCTGTTACTGACCTGCCTGCAGTCCTACTCCAGTGTCTTATCCCCGAACGTGTGAGTTTTTGACCCACGCACGTGGGAAGAATTTCAGAGGCCAGACTACAATTTCTGCTAGCAAGCTTCTGATTGAGCTGAAGAAAGATGGGTTTTGAGGTTGGAGGGGGTTGGAGGGGGTTGGAGGGGAAGTCACAGTTCTTTCTGGAACACAGAATAGAGAGAGTCTGGGTTGTATGTTGGTTTGGTTTAGAAGGAAACCCCCAGGGCTGGGTGTTCTTCCTTCAGCTTCTAGAAAAATGCGAAGGTGCCCAAAGTTATCTCTCTGCTGCTACATAGATAGCGTTCGGCCAGGATTTCCAGCTCACCCTTAGCATTTTCTTCTCACTGCAGCTCAAAGAATATGAGGCTCAGCACCGGCAGCCAGCCCCTTTGGACCCCGCAGACTGGCCTGATGTTTCCTACCCATCATTTGATGGCTCATCCAACTGCAATGTAAGTGCTGTCTCTCCAAGCATCTGCACTACTTCTAATACAGTGCAGCCTGTACCGGTTCAGCCTTGGGCTTGGTTCTCACAGCTCTCAACTCCCACCTGGCTCTGAAAAGAGGCATCTCTTCTTACAGGTTACTCCGTTTTCCTAACCTGATAGAGGCCCACCTGCAGTCAGAACAGTGCAACTGCTGGCTTTTAAAAAATCTTAAGAAAGTGTGCAAATAACATTGGCCATATTACGTATTCCACTCAGTGTCATTAGTTACATGGGGTCTTCAAAAAGTTCATGGAAAATACATATTGTTAAAAAGTTATGCGTGGATCTCAATACTTTTTGTACCAAAATGTACTTTTTAAAAAAAAAAATTTATTAGGCCGGCGCCACGGCTCAATAGGCTAATCCTCCACCTAGCGGCGCCGGCACACTGGGTTCTAGTCCCGGTCGGGGTGCCGGATTCTGTCCCGGTTGCCCCTCTTCCAGGCCAGCTCTCTGCTGTGGCCCGGGAGTGCAGTGGAGAATGGCCCAAGTGCTCGGGCCCTGCACCCCATGGGAGACCAGGAAGAAGCACCTGGCTCCTGCCATCGGATCAGTGCGGTGTGCCGTCCGCAGAGCACCAGCCGCAGCGGCCATTGGAGGGTGAACCAACGGCAAAAAGGAAGACCTTTCTCTCTGTCTCTCTCTCTCACTGTCCACTCTGCCTGTCAAAAAAAAAAAAAAAAGAAAAAGAAAAAGAAAAAAAAATTTGTTTATTTATTTGAAAGGCAGATTTACAGAGAGAGAGAGAGAGAAAGGTGTTTTCCATCCACTCATTCACTTCCCAAATGGCCGCAAGGCCAGAGCTGCACTGATCCAAAGCTACGAGCTGGGAGCTTCCTCTAGGTCTCCCACGTGCGTGCAGGGCCCAAGGACTTGGGCCATCTTCTACTGCTTTCCCAGGCCATAGCAGAGAGCTGGACTGGAAGAGGAGCAGCTGGGACTTGAACCAGCACCTGTATGTGATGCTGGCACAGTGGGTGGCAGCTTTACCCACCACTCCACAGTGCCGGCCCCCAAAATACACTTCTGTTTCACTTCCATTTTCCCAAGCTTTTTGAAGTGCCCTATGTTCTCATCTCTGTGCAACCAGCAGCATAGTGCTCTTCCAGAGACTTGTCCTCCTAAACAGAAACCCCTCACCCATTAAATAGCAACTCCTTCTTCTCACCTCCATGTCTCTGTAAGTTTGACTACTGTCTTCCTTCACTTAAGTTGAATTACACAATATTTGTCTTGTTGTGTCCACTTTATTTCACCTAGCATGATGTTTCCAAGGTTCATCCACATTGTGGCATGTATCCAAATGTCACTCCTTTTTACAGACTAGTAATATTCTTCTACACGTGTATACTGTATTTTGTTTATCTGGTCATCCCTTCATGGACACTTGGGCTATCATGAACAGTGTTGTTATAAAACACTGGTGTACCAGTGGATCTTAAGTCCTTGCTTTCAGTTATTTGGGGTATATATGTAGGAGTAGAATTTCTGAATTATATAATTCCATATTTAACATTTTAAGGATTAATTATACCATTTTCCATAGTTGCTACCCCATTTTAAATTCCCGTCAGCAATGCACCAGATTTTGTACTTCCTACCAGCAGTTATTATTTTCCCTTTTTAGAATTATATTCATCCAAATATGTATTATGTGGTTTCTCCTTGTGGGTTTTACTTGCAGTTCCATAATAACTAATTATATGAAGCATCTTTTCATATGTTTGTTGGCCATCTGTATATCTTCTTTGGAGAAATGGCTAGTCGAGTTTTTTGCCAATTCTCGAATTGTGGTTTTGTTGTTATTGTTGGCTGCAGTTCTTTATATATTCTGGATATTAATGCCTTAATACATAGGTGATCTGTAAGTATTTTATATCCTCCCTTTTTGGTATTCTTTTCACTATCTTGATAGTGTCCTGAATTGCCAATTTTTTCATTTTGAAATCCATTTTATTTTTTCTTTTGTTGCCTGTATTTATGGTGTCATATCCAATAAGTCATTGCCAAATTCAGTATGGTGAAGATGCCAACTTATATTTTCTTCCAAGGATTTTTGTAGTTTTTAGCTTTAAATTTAGGTTCTGAACCCAGTTTGAGTTAATATTTGATGTAATAGTTGGGTCCAACTTCATTCTTTTGTATGTGGATATTCAATTTTCCCAGAACCATTTGTTGAAAAGACTCTCATTTCTCCATCACATGGTTGTGATGCCCTTTTGAGAATGAATGGGTTATGTATCTAAGAGTTTATTTTGGGGCTCTCTTTTATTCTATTTGTACCTATGTTTATCTTTTTGCTAGTACTATGCTGTTTTGATTACTGTAGCTTTGCAGTAAGTTTTGAATTTGGAAGGGATGAGATATCCAATTTTGTTTACTTGAGATCCTTTGAGATGCCATATGGATTTTATGATGGATTTTCAGTTTCTCCAGAGGGTTTAGAGAGAGACAGTGAATGAGAATGAGAGAGCAAGCATTGGAATATTGATAGGGATTGCATTGAAGTAGATTGGTTTGAGTAATATTGTCATCTTAACAATATTGAAGTCTTCTAATCCATGAACATGCGATATCTTATCAATTATTTGTCTTCTTTAATTTTCAACAATGTTTTCCAGTGTGTAACTCTTGCTTCCTTGGTTATATTTATTCCTAACTATTGTGTTCTTTTGTTGTTGTTGTAAATGGAATTGTTTTCTTAATTTCCTATTCACACTGTTCATTGCTAATGTGTATAAATGCTACTGATTTTTACACATTGATTTTATACTTTGCTGCGTCTGCTTATCAGCTGTAACAGTTTTGTTTGTGTAATCTTAAGGTTTTTCATGTCATCTGCAGAATATGAGTGCATTTTACTTCCTTTCCAATTTAGGTACTTTCTATTATGCTATCTTTATGTATAATTTTTAAATTTATGTTAAGGGAATAAATTTTATGTATTTCATAGGTACAGTTTTAAGTACATAATGATACTTTATCATGCTGTTTTTTTTGTCATTCTATTTTAATGTGATCAAAACAGTGCATCTGAAAGTAGGAATTCCACAAGAATCATAGGAATTGAAGCTGCAGAATTTCAAATAGACATTTCATGGTGCCATGATGAAACTGTGGAGCAGGAATGGTGGGAATTATCCTTTTCTGTGTGTTTCATGATTTTTTTTTAAATTTATCTCATCCTTGAAATTTGGAAGTGACTCTATTTCCCTCTCTTTAGATGTTGCTCCCTCCTGTCTATGCCCTATACAGCCGCTCATCTTTCTAAAACATACCTCTTTCCTTGCAATCATGTGTTTTTAAAAAGCTTGATGGTTTCCTGTCCCTATGAGATAAATTCCAAACTTCTTAGCACACGGAAGGCCCTTTGTGATCTGGCTTTAATCAGTTTTGGAGTCTCATCTTCCATCCCTACACCCAGTACCCGCCACTCCAGCCGCAGCGGTCCCTGCTGTGTTACTGCACTAACCCTGTGCTCTCTCACTTCTCTGCCTTAACTCATGCAAGTTTCACTGCCCCAAAGGTCTCCTTGCAGCGTGTGGTGCCTGTCCATCAAGCGGAAGCTCAGCTGCCACACCCTCTGTGAAACCTTTCTTCACTTCCTAAAGCACACGCATTGCTGCTGCTTCTGTGTTTTTGTTAACCACTTTATACACTCGGCATATACAGCTATCTCAGTGGCAGAAATAATATTAATACATGAATTAATACTACATATACTATAGCATATTATATAAAATTAATATATAACCAACACATCATATATTAATATTTAATATATTAATGACAATATTAATGTATGATTATTAAAATTATTAAAATAATTCATATTTAAGCCTCTCTGGAAATAGTGAGCTCTTTGAGCAAGAAGGACACACTACGTTCTCTCTGTCTCCGACAAGTGCCTGGTCGAGTGGCCACGCCACATAGAAATGTTTCATGAACAGACTTGTGTTTGAATGGCTTCCTTTCCTGGCTGCTTTCAGGGTGTGTTTCATGTCCTCAGCTGCGATGGATTCTTTACCTTTCTTTGCATCTAAGCAACAAAGGGAAGCTCCTCCGAAGCAAGTGTGATCATGTAGTGTCTGATTTCCCGCAGCAAAGCACCAGCTTTGCATGGCAGCTCCGGGATTATGAATTTAAAAAGTCTTGCCTGGTTTGCTTTTATGTGAAGGAGACGGAGACATTACCGTTTATAAAAAGAACTGTGTCCTAGGCTAGTTAGCCATGTGTCCTGGGACCATGAGGTAATCAAAAGAACCACGTCCGTGGTTTTCAGTATGTCTTTTGGGGTCTCTATCCCCAAATCCTAAAGACTAACATAATATAAATAGAAATCGTGAACCTACACATCAGGAAGAACAAATATAGTAACTCAGGACTGACGTGATGGAGACCCCGCTCCGGGAAGGAGACAAAGGGCCAGTTGTCCACAGTGGGCCCCTTCGTGTTGAGACCACTGTGTACAGTCCTGATTGACAGCATCGGCGTCAAGGCGGGGCTGCAAGACTCGGTTCTTTCAGAGGAACGAGACTGAAGTGAGACTCACACCCCTGGACTCGGGGAGAGAGGCTTCCAGCTTAGTGGGGAGTTAATACAAGCAGAGCACCATGGCATTTTGTACAAGCTGTGGTGAAGGTATTATTAAGTGTTGGTTTGTTGGAGCCCTTCAGAGGGTCCGTGAGAAGCATTACCTAGATAGAAAATGCCAGAATGATTATAGGTGCTTCTTACGAATTGGGCATTCCGTTCTCTCGATATATCTGTTTGTTCATGGGAGAGACATTGATGGAGTCCTTGCTATATAGCAGAGGTAATAGAGACAGACAGGTCCTCCGTGTGCCTGCCCAGATTCAAGATGTCGTGTACACTTTACCTTGTTGGCGTTGTGTCAACCTGTTTCTTCATAGACATCTCAAAAGTAAATGCAGCCTGTGCCAGTGTGGTGAAGAACCGGCAGT